CTTTCACATGGATATTTCTCTCTCTCCCCCCCCCATTCTATCTGAACAAAATATATATATATAAAAAAAAAAAGGTCTCCGGTGAGGATAAAAAAAACAGCCCTGGCCAGTTTGGCTCAGTAGTTGAGTGTTGGCCTGTGGACCAGAGAGTCCCAGGTTCGGTTCCTGCATGTACCACAAAAAAAAAAGAAAGAAAAAAACAAAACAAAAACATTTGTATTGACTTTCAGAGAAAAAGAGAAAGAGAAAGAGAAAGAGAAAGAGAAAGAGAAAGAGAAAGAGAAAGAGAAAGAGAAAGAGAATTATCGATCAGCTGCCTCCTGCACGCCCCCTATTGGGGATAGTGCCCTGATTGGGAATGGAACCAAAAATCTTTCCATGCAGGGGATGATACCCAACCAACTAAGCCACAGTGGCCAGGGTTTCCATTCATTACTTTAACACTACTTTTAACTTCCACCATGGAAATCAACAATATCTTCTTATTGCCAGATTCAAGTTTCTTTTCAATTCTCACATCACTTACCTGCAAAATAATTGGGTCCTTGCTTGGTTTGCACTGCATGACTTTCCTACTACCTTTCTGAGGATTCTCTCTCATTGTCTTCTTTTGGATCCTCTTTTGCTGTCACCTATTCTAAGTGTTTAAAGATTTCCCCTCGCAACATTACCTAGTTTGGTAATTCAGTTATGCTTATATTTGATGGTTCTCTCAATCACTATCTCCAGCCCCCATTCTCCCTCCTAACCTAAGCTCCACATCTGTTGTTTTGTTCCCATACTGGATGCGAGAAAGACTAAAATTTGACATTAAAAAAAAAAAAAAACAATCACAGAAAATCACAAACTTCTCTTTAATCAACTGCATACATTGCATCCAGAGCTTGGAACATGACTACCCACAGTGACTAACTGGCTTCCAGTAGAAACAAAATGAAGACAGTACATAAACCCTTGCCAAATTCTTGCATTTCATTTTTTTTTTTAAATCCTCACCCGAGGACATTTTTCCATTTTTTGTTCAGGTAGAGTGGGAGGGAGAGAGAGAGAGAGAGAGAGAAACATCCACATGAAAGGGACACATCAAGTGGCTGCCACCCACACGACAAACCAGGGCCGGGACAAACTGCAACCGAGGTACACGCCCTTAGCGGGAACCAAACCCGGGTCTCTCTGGACTGCAGGCCGGAGCTCTAACTGCTGAGCCAAACCGCCCAGGGCTGTATTTCATATTTTTTTAAGCTCCTCTATTAACCAATTACTAGTTTTTTTGGTACAAAACTGAGCCATAACTTCCCATAAAAACCTGTTCCTCTTCCTTTTTATTCCTATGAAATACTAAAACCTCAGAACCACCTTCTGTTTTTCCTGCACATCTCACTTCCAATTGATATGTACCTTGGAAAATGTCTTTCAAATCTATGTAACTCGTTTTGAAATGCATCCAAAAAATAAGATAGGCATGATAAAACAAACATAATAAATATTATTTACAGAATCTAGGTGGTAGATATATGGATATTCACTGTGTAATTCTTTCAATTTTTCTGTACGTTTGAAAATTTTTACAATAAAATGTTTTTAAAAAACTGATCACACTCAGATATTGTACCTCTCTTCTGAACTCCTTTGGGAGCTAAACTGAGCTGTCTCCCCACTCTTTGCCATTGTAATGCTCCTCTAAGTTGGCTCCCCAGTGATCCCTACCTCCTGGTATTCACACCCTTGTGAACTTGCCTCCCACACTGTACCAGGGTTGGTCTCTATGACCAATATGATGGTATATCACTTCCAAGATTAGGTTATAATCTCATCTGTGCCTTCCAGCTTCCATCTCAGCACTCACTCTCTTGATGAGTTGTTCTGGGAGAACATATAAATCATCTAGGGATCTTGGTAAAATGCACATTCTGATTCAGTGGGTCTGGGGCAGGGCCTGAGACGCAGCATTTCCAACAAGCTCCTAGGTAATGCAGATGCTGTTAGCTCAGGGAGAAAACTACAGTGCTGCAAGTATAGCTAACAAGGTAAGAAAAGAAAGAAAACAGGAATATTCCTGCCATATTTAAATATGTAAAGATAGAATCATCAGGTCTTGGTAGTAGCTCAGTGCAACATCATCTTACTATATTCAATTCTACAGAGCAGTGCTTCTCAAACATGAATGTGCATACGAATCACCTGGATATATTATTAAACTGCAGTAGTAAGTCTAGAGCAGGAGATTCTGCATTTCCAGCAACTTTCAAGCAACACTGAAGCCTCTGATCAAAGGACCACACTTTTTGAGTAGTAAGGTTTTAAAAGGCTCCTATAGCCCTGGCCAGTTTGGCTCAGAGGTTAGGGCGTTGGCCTGCGGACCAAAGAGTCCCAGGTTTGATTCCAGCAAGGGCACGTACCTTGGTTGCCATTGTCCCAGGCCCTGGGGTTGGGGTCATATGGGTGGCAACCAATCATTGTGTCTCTCTCACATCAATGTTTCTCTCTCTCTCCTTCTCTCCTTCCTACTCTGTCTGAAGATAAATGTAAAAATATCCTCGGGTAAGGATTAAAAATAATAATAACAATAATAAATAAATAAATACATAAATAAATAAATAAATGGCTCATGCCTTTTTTTTTAACATATTTGATTATAGGTAAATGTAAAACTTATATGTCAAAATCACAATAAAGTTAAAAGACAAATAAGAAATTTGGAAAGAAACATTTGCAATATCCATGACAACATGTATATATATATCTTTTGTATTAATTTTCTATTGCTATATAAATTATAATCCTATACCTTTCAAGCTTCAGAAACATTAATCAGAAAGATAAACTCTTGAAATGGTTTACAAACGCCCATTACACATGACAGCTTTCCCTCCATCTATTCCAGCACCTTCACCCACCCCTATGTGCATGCCAGTAGTCCAACCATACCTTACAACTGCCTACACAGTACTAAAATCTTAACTTCTCTAGCCTTACTCTGAAAACACCTTTTTGTTTTTTGTTTTATTTTTTTCCACGGACAAATATTTGTTGATCATCTAACACACTTTTGTTTTGATAACAAAAGCCTTAGTAAAAGTCATCCGTTTAATATACCTTTTCTCTTTCCCTTCAATTGTTCTTCCATGTAGTTTGCCTTTGTATAGGCCAAGTATTTCATCCCTCTACTCTACCATGGGATTAAAGTCCCACAGGCTTCTTATTCCAGATTTAGACAGAAAATATAGACCCTTCTTCACAATTAACTTCTCACTACTACATGTTTTTTCTCACACAATTTTTAAAAGATATAACGAACATACCGTAAAAACACCCTTTTAAAGTGTACAGTTCAATGGTTTTTCAGTATAGTCAAAGTTTTTTGATCATCATCACTAATTCTAGAATATTTTCATCACCCCCCCCCAAAAAAAAACCATGCCCTTTATCTATCACCCCCAACATCCCCAGCTCCTGGCAATCACTAATCTTTCTATCTTTATAGATTTGCCTATTCTAACTATTTCACATAAATGAAATTATACAGCATGTGGTCTTTCTGATTGGCTTAAACATCATGTAGCATGTTTTCCAGGTTCATCCATGTTGCAGAATGTATGTATCAGTGTTTCTTTTCTATGACTAAATAATTCCATTGTATGAATATACCATATTTTATCTGTTCATCAGTTGATGGACATTTTGATTATTTCCATTTTTTTTGGCTATTATGAATAATGTTGCTATGAATATGTGTGTACAAGTTTTTATGTAGACATGTTTTCCAAGTTTTTATGTAGACGTCTCTTGGGTATATATCTTTTTTTTTTTTTTTAATCCTCACCTGAGGACATTTTTCAATATTTTGTTCAGATGGAGTGGGAGGGAGAGAGAGAAAGAGAAACATCAACGTGAAAGGGACACATGAGTGGTTGCCACTCACATGACCCAACCAGGGCCGGGGACAATCTGCAACGGAGGTACATGCCCTTAGCAGGAACTGAACCCAGGTCTCTCTGGTCCACAGGCCGACGCTCTAACCGCTGAGCCAAACCGGCCAGAGCTCTTGGGTATATATCTAAGAGCAGACTTGCTGAGTAATATGCTAACTCTACACTTAATGTTTTGAACAACTGCCAAACTATTTTCCAAAGCACTGAACCATTTTACATCCCCACCTGCAATGTATGGGAATTTCACTATTACATTTTCAAACAATAAGGATGTTATAATTCCTAAACGAAAGGACCGTATGTTACGAGAATTCCCTAGGAAGAATACTGCATTAACAAAGCATAAGTACTGTACATTTCGGTCAGGAATACTAAAAATAAAATGCTATAGGTCCAAGTATATTGAGTCAATGAGCTGACCTCTCAGCCAACGGTTCTTTAATCGTAAAATAGGAACGCTGTGTGTAATAACATTTATGTTGCAGTCGCCGTGAAGATTAAATAAAACAACCCACACGAAAGTGCTTTCCAACACTGATAATTCGTGATTCAACCCTGGGCAAACTATTAGGGGCAAAGGGTAATGCCCAGATCCCTCCCCGCCCCCTTCCTGCAGGTTCCTCCCCGCGCGGGAGGGGTAACTGAGTGACGGTGGGGGCTGCAGCCACCTCCCTTCTCCCCGAGGGCCGGCCTGACGAGCCACGCAGGATAAATTGTTAGAGCTTTAAAAGCAGAGCCTAGTCACGTTAGAGCTTAAAAAGCGGAGCCTGGTCACCTCAGGCCAACATCGTTCCCAGGTGAGAGATTTCGCATCCTCTACTTAGCTTAGCTTTTTTGCCTTTTTAACAGTAATGCATATTATGGTCGAAGCAGAAAAGAAGAGGCAAATCGAACACAAGCATATTCCTCCACCCACGATCCCAATCTCTTATCTCTACAACCCCCCCCCCAAGGTAAACAAATATGAAACGCGATCCATTACGAACTCTGGAAGTATATAGATCTCAATGGCCCTCACCCCCAAAAACCCCCTATCGGCCCCCATGGGACATACGGCGCAAAGCTCACCTGGTGGCTTCCTCCAGCTCGACCAGGCTCGGTCCAGGTGCCTCCAGAGGTATAGTAGCCATCGCCTCCTCCGCCTTCTCCGGTCCAGGTGGTCTCAACCGGGCCGCCCCCGCGCACCCGCCAGGAAATGGGGTGCTGGGGAGGTTCAGCGCGAGGAGGATATAAGGTTGGAGGTGGGTGCACGGGCACATCTCCACCCCCGGGTCCGTAATAGCGGCCATAAGATGGACCGTCACTGGGGCCGTAGCCCGAACGCCTTAAGGCCGACATGGGCTCTTACTGCCCCTAAGAGCTTCCCGCCCCCCACAGCCGGTCCAATGCGCAGGCGCCAACCAGCAAGGAGGAATGGACAATAGTGAAGGGGGTCGGCCGACAACAGCCAATCCCAGGCCAGCTCCCGCCCTTTCGGCTGCCGAGTCCGGAGGGTTAAGGGACTGATGCCAGTGACTCTGGGGTCGAAGGATCAGGAAAACTAGAAGCAGCGCCGTGTTCTCTAAAAAGGAGAATGCATTGTCCCACCACCTATGCAATCTGGATTCCTCTTCCCCTCTCTTCATGGATGGGGGAAGTCTGTCCCAGGACCACATGACGGCCCCGCCTCTTCCTGAAAAATGGGCACGTGATGACGGAAGTGGGTGGGGATAATATGGAGGAGTTTCCGGCGTGGCCCGGCTGCTGAAAGCCGGGGCTGAAGTGCTGGTCCGGAACTGGGTTCCTGGCCGGGTCCCGCCGAGGCGGCGACTACGGTAGGAGGAAGACGGTGTTGGATGCACTGGCCCTTCGTCGCTATACACTGCAGCCGTATCTCAGCTCAAAATGAACTATATGCCCGGCACCGCCAGCCTCATCGAGGACATCGACAGTGAGTTGCTCGTCTCCTTCGGGTGAAGTCTGGGGTGAGACCCTTCCTCCCGGACGGGTGCCTATTTCGAAAGAGCTCGTAGAATGAGTGTGGGGCGGAGGGCGGTATGTTTTTAAGAAAGTTCTGGGTGTTTGGCGTTCACATCCTCCACGGATGGAGGAGCCGCAGGAACGCACCGCTTGCCCACCTCCTCGCCTACCTCTGTTGCGTCTGTCCTGCTCGGAGCCTCCACCAGTTAACCGGCTGGTCGGCCACAAAGTGTAGAATTCAGTCCTGCTTCCGAGGGACGCGGCTGCTGAGGCCCAAACGCGAACTTTGTCCCCCGCCCTGTCAACTATCTTCCTCTGCGATATTTCGAAGTACCAGGTTGTTACTGGTGGATGGATGAAAATACTTAGAGAAAGGATTCATCATGAAATGAAAATATTAAGACAACAGCATTGGGACTTAATTGGCAGCAAACATAGGCTTTATGCATAAACCCTGGAGCCCTTTGCAATATTATTTTACCGTGAGAGTCTTTAGCACTTCCAGGTTATAGTAATAGAAACCATTAACAAACAAGATATTGACTTTTCTGGAATGGTTGAGTCACTTGAAACTTTGTTTTTTCCTGTTATGCAATTTTCTTTTGCTTTTACTAGGAAGACCTCCCTTATTCCTAGTCATTGCCCCGAAGAGCAGCTCAGTCCTGTACAAAGAGGAGCCACTTACACTTGTCCCGTCTTTCCTTGTGCTAAACTCTCATCTGTGAATTATTCTTCAGGCAATGTTTTTGTAATTGTTTTAATCGTGTGATCTGTCTCATTAACTTCCAATTGCTGCAAAATGGTTACACACAGTTCCAAACAAGTTATGTGTATACAGGTACTATCTATGCAAATTAAAGAGTGAGTATATTGTTAAACTTATTTTTTTGTCTGAAATTATTAAAATCTAAAGCAGTGATTTTGCCATTGAAGGGATGTGGTATAAATTGGACCAAATTAATATAAATACCACTGTACAAATGTAATGTAATGAAAACTTAAGTTTAATTGTATGAGGATACCCTTTTGCCCTCACTCCTTGTTATATATCTGAATTATTTGAGGCCCTAACACATTCTGTCATTTTACTAAAAATAATTTTTGGGCCTTGGCCGGTTTGGCTCATCGATAGCATCGGCCAGTGGTCCAGAGAGAACCGGGTTTGGTTCCCACGGAGGGCATGTACCTCGGTTGCGGTTTGTCCCTGGCCCTGGTTGGGTCGTGCGGGTGGCAACCACTTGATGTGTCCCTTTCACGTTGATGTTTCTCTCTCTCTCTCTCCCTCCCTCCCGCTCTATCTGAACAAAAAATGGAAAAATGTCCTTGGGTGAGGATAAAAAAAAATAAAAATCAGTTAAAAAAAATTTTAAAATAATAATCTTTGTTCTAAAGCCTTCCCTAACCTATTTTTTTTTTGTAGATTCCAAGCCTCCTTCACTGAAGAGTTCAAAACAATTTTATATGCACCTTTCATTCCCCCTCACCCACACACCCCTTCCTCTTCTCTCCTTAGTCTTTCTAGTATTTTCACCCATACTCTCATTTGAGTAGGAAGTATTCCTCCCTTTCAGTTTGTGTCTTTTATTACTCTTTCCTTCCACTATTTCTGGAAACTTCTTTCATTAATATTCTTTTTCTCTTATACCTTCTATCTTTCTCCCCCGGTTCTATCCCGTCCTATGTGTTCTTCTCTGTCCATCTCAATATTTTCTTCAGTTGTGTCTCCCCATCCCTTTTTTCTACCCTTACCTCTTGACACATACCATTTTGACTCTTTATGACCACCTGCAATAGACCATCTCTGTTACTCCTACAATTTGATTTTTGTTAACACACTTATGCAGCTCCATTATTAAGCATCAGTCTAATGCCCTCTTCTGAGTTTTCCACTCCCCTCTACATTGTGATACTATTACATTGTGATACTGGATTCTTACTTAATCAGTGCTCTTGATTTCCCTAACACTGGCACTTGCTGACTTTCTTAACTCTCCAACTCTTACTGTCCCTAAAATAGATTGTATCTTAGGTTCCATCTTTGGCCTGCTTCTTTCCTTAAATCTCTAGGAGATCTGGACTTTAATAATTATATAACCTCTTTGTGGCCTTGTCCAAAATTGCTCTCTCTAATTCTGACCTCTTTGCATTCCAGCTTTGTATTTCCAACTGTCTTTTGACATTTCTACATAAGTGTCCTGATAGCATTTCAGAATTACAAACAGCTAATAGCCTTCTTTTACTTCAAACTTTTGGTAAATGGCCCTCCCCTGGCATGATGTCTCAAAATTTCTGCATGTTTTTTAACTAATCCCTTTAGCACCTCACTCTCTCACACCTACCTACATATACAAACTCAATTGGTTGACAAATCTATTACTTAGAACTACACAGCCTTAGTTCTCTTATTGTCTCCTTTTGCATCTCTACCTTGGTTCAGCTCTCTTCTTTATGTCTCAGACTCCGGGAATAGCCTCAACCTGCTTCCAGTTCTTTTCTGACTTCATTTCCTCTTATTTTTCTTCATACCCTCAACTTTTCACCACACATATGGTTACATAACCCTTTTTTTCCTCCTGCCTAATTACAGATTTTCCTCCCCCTCCCCATTACTTTTTCCTTGGCCAAAAATTGTCTGCCTTTCAAGGATCAACTCAGATACATCCTCCAGCTAGAGTTTTTGTCAGTGTCATATAATTAAGATGTATTTGCTTGTGATAATTATAGCCCAATTATAAATTCCTTCAGGGAAGAATCACTGTCTTCTCCTCTGTTCTGCATCTAGAAGGTACTTTATGGGTGGCATTAAAGAAACAATGAACTTTGCTAGCTATTCTAGTGACGGGCTTATTGTCGTTTTTCAGAGTCAGCCCAAAGTCACCTCTTCAGAGAAGTTTTCCTTGGCCACCCTTTCTAGCCACTCTCTTCTGGAGCTACTTCCCCTCTCTTCATCATACTATCTTGCTTTCCTACTTTTTATTTGATTGTACTAATCACAATAGATTATTTTGTTTGTCTTTCTCTACCAGGAATATAAGTTCATATGGTTAAACTTTCTTAGTCTTATTCTCTATTGTATATCTAGGCCCCAGAACAGCACATAGTGTTCAAAATTACTGAACTGTTGCTCTAGCTTATTATCTGCACCCTCCTTTTACATGTCTGGGGCACTGTTTTTATTTAAAACCTCCCCTGATTCCAAAGTATGAAATAGAAGCTCTTCTAAGCTCATGGAGGGGAAACAATTCTAGAATTAAGATCATAAAGATCACCCAGACTAAATTTTTCAATTTGCAGATATAGAAACTGACATGACACTGGAGGGTGGGAGGGACTGTCAAACATTAGGTTCTAGAGCCAGCCAGGCTGGCTGGCTATTCACCCAGTCCGTTTTCCACTCTGCCACACTACTTGTTCTTCTAATCCAGAAATTGTCACCCTTTTTCATCTCATGACACACACAAACCATTTACTAAAATTCTATAGCACACCAATCTCACAAAAAAAATAGGTAAATTTTGATTCATTCATACTGGATGGCTATAATTATGTTGGCTGTTGTCTTTTTTTTTATTATTTGACATTCTAAGGAAAATACATCAGTGGTCCTGACTAAATAGATAGGTATTGCATGTTTTAAAAATTCTCACTGCTCCTGGTTGAAAATCGCTGTTCTAATCCGAACCCCAAATTACCTTAGTCCCCAATTTCCGAGTGCACTCCACCTTAAATACACTGGAAGAGGAAGTGGTAGCGCTTAAACTATCAACTTTATTTTTGTTGTTTCCCTGTAAATTCACTGAAGCTAACAGTTTTCATTTTTTAAAGATCTTTTTCCTGTCCCCAGAAAAGCACTTGGTACTGCTTCGAGATGGAAGGACACTTATAGGCTTTTTGAGGAGCATTGATCAATTTGGTATGTATTAGTTATAGACTTCTCTTATACTCTGGATAATAAGAGCTGCCCGTTGTATTTTTATTACTTTGTATTGTAATGTATTTATCTGCAACTTTTTCATGTGTCTGGCATAATGGAATACTGTTTTGAGTCATTAAATCATTGTTTCCTAAATTATGACTACATGGTTCAAAAGCTTATATTTTTAAGCCTGTACTGTATTTCTAAAACTGACTTTCACTAGAGTATGTGATTATAATATTTTGGACTGTTTTTTATTTTCCCCATTAGAGGGAGCCAAAATATAGAAATAAACTCAGTCCACTGAAAAAGCTGCTCATTTGTACATTGGCTTGGGTGTGACTACTCTTCAAAGCAGTTCCTGCACTGAAGGTAATCCCTCCCTGTCCAATGAAAATTGGATAGAAGGTATTTTCTGAAACTTGTTAGGGAACCTAACATTAAGTTCAATATTTTACACTTAAGGATACATCAGACTCAAGAGTCTCAGTCTTTGTTTTGCATCCTGCATTTTTCTAAAGAGATTTATATCTGCTTCTGTTTTAAGAAACTTCTCAGTTCATATCAGCATTTGTTGGACATCTGCTAGGTCAGTGGATTTGGGCATGAGGAAAATAACAACATAATTGAAACACTTGTAAAAGTTATAGAAGATAAAGAACATAAATATCTGCTTTCTTCAAATAAGACAAATGGAAAGAAGAAAAAAAATTATTCTTAACATACTGGGTTTCTAAATCTTAAGTCAAATTCATCAGACTACTTTGAAGGAAAAGTAATAAATATTGACTACTCTTGGATTACTAGATATGGTTATCTGACAAAGTGAAAAAATAGTTTTTTTCTGTATCATAATTCATGGACATTTTTATTGGGTTAAGTAAATTCTAAGTACTGAAAGAAAGTTAAATCTTTGGTAAATTGCCATATGCACATACCCACAGAACATAGAAAAACTGTTTTCTTCTAAAAAAAAATACAGAGTTTTAATCTCTGCCATTGTTTAGAGTCTTCTAAGTGCCTTACTCATTTATATTATCTTACAACCCTGTTGATGTTAGCAATTAACTGATAAACAAATTTAACTTTTTAAGACTTTTTCCCACTATCATTCATGTATTAGTACAACATAATCGCAAGTAGTCTTTTACTTTCCAGTTGGTTAAAAATCTTTTAAGTGGTTTGTCGTAATGAAATAGGAGATCGTTTGAAATTTTAAGTTTTTCCCCAAATTAGAAAGTTTTGCAGTCATGTTTAGCTAAATCTTTTCTTTTCAAAATAACTGAGTTACCCAGTAACTTGAACTAAATTATCTTTGTTTCTTCCCTATACAATTATAGCTAATTTAGTGCTACATCAGACTGTGGAGCGTATTCATGTGGGCAGAAAATATGGTGATATTCCTCGAGGGATTTTTGTGGTCAGAGGAGAAAATGTGGTCCTACTAGGAGAAATAGTAAGTGAAAACTGTTAAGCTGCATGGGTCTTGATAATTATACTAGTTAAGGGTTTGGTCTTTTCAAGAAGGAAAAAAATATATTTTCTACATTTCACCCAGTTTCTCTCAGGAAACCACTAGATTAATTTAGGGAACCCACAGTTGTAAAAGGAAAATTATAGAGAATAATTAACTTTGTTTCAATGCCTTTTGGCATTTTAAAGATTTGATCTCATTAGCAGCAAAATATCATTGATTTTACCTGATATCTTTCTTTTTTTTTTTTTTGCATCTATCTTCAGATAGAGCAGGAGGGAGAGGGAGGTGGAGAGAGAGAGAGAAACATTAATGTGAGAGAAACACATCACCTGGTTGCCACCCACACAACCCCAAGTGGGTCCAGGGACAAACTGCAACCGAGGTATGTGCCCTTAGTGAGAACCGAACCTGGGGCTCTCTGGTCCGCGGGTGGACGCTCTAACTGCTGAGCCAAACTGGCCAGGGCTTACCTGATATCTTTAAAATATATATATCATCCCTTAAATGTGTTCATTAATAATTATTTCTGCCTAGCCAGTGTGGCTCACTGATTGAACATCGACCCGTGCACCATGAGGTCACTGGTTCAATTATCAGTCAGGGCACATGCCCAGGTTGTGGGCCCGATCCCCAGTGGGGAGCATGCAGGAGGCAGCCTGTCGATGTTCTCTCTCATTGATGTTTCTGTGTATGTCTCTCTCTCCCTTCCTCTCTCTCTAAATCGATAAAGAAAAAAATAATAATTAAAATAATAATAATAATTACTTCTGCTATTTCTTAAAACAGAAAATTGAAAAACTTGAAAATAATAATTTGATAAAATAAGATATACATTGTATATTTGCAGTAATTTAAATAATTGGTTACAAGTAGTTTTTCATGATATAGAGTTAATTAGCTGTGTTTGTAGGGAAAGACACATTGCATATTCAATGTGATATCCATGTTTTTAAAGGGGGGAGGGAAAAGAAGGGATACAGGAGAAGTCTTTCTGTGAACTATCGTGATAATAGAGTTCAGTCAGTCAGCTTCACTTGACCTTCGCTCACAACCAATGAGGAAGAAGACTAGCTGGCAGGTGTGAAGTAGTGTTGTTACTGTATGCATATATAATACGTAACTATTAGAAAACTATTTTATATACAGGGTAGGGCAAAAGTAGGTTTATAGTTGTTCCTATGGAAAATTAATAATACAAGAATAAACTGTTTCACATACAACTGTAAACCTACTTTTGCCAAACCCTGTATATAAAACCTAGAAATACTCAGCATTTTGAAAAGATAAACCTGATTTCATGTTTTACATGAAACATTACTCAAAACTACCCTTGACTTGATCCTGCCGCTTCTGATTATTGGATTTGCCAGGAAAATAAAAATAAAAAACTTTGACATTTGCTTGATTTTATCTTTTCCTATTTTGTTTTTAAAGTTTTCAGTCAAGTTTCCCAATACCTAGTCACATCTTAAATCAGATTTACAGAAGTCTTTTGAGTGGAGTGATTTAGTCTGTAGCTATTTTTAATAAGCCATTTGAGAAAATGAGATAATCCTGCCAGGGTCAGGTTGATTCAGAGACTTTGTGTGAAATAGCTAGAAATGACTAATCAGTACTGCCCAAATATATAAAATACCTTTTTTTTTTTTTTTTTAAATTATTTTTTGTGGTAGAAATATTTTTGGTTCAGTGTATCATTTCTTGCATGTTTATGCAGTAGAAATTGTCATCTTGTATTATGTAAAGATTGAAATAAAGCACTATACTACCCAGAGGTGTGAGGGAGGGGTGGTAAATCACTGAAGTAGTCTGCCAGAGGGCCTAATCGCAATCTGGACAGTAGGATTGTGGGTGATTATTTTTTTTCTTTTTTTATACTATTCTGAATTTAATTTTTAAAGAGGAAACATATTACTTTGCTACCAGGGATAAAAAGTTAAGTTAAAATATGTACACATACTCTGCTTCAGTTTCATAGGAGTGAACATCACAGAAATGCTTTCTATGCCAGTTACATTGGCACACATTGCCCCTATGTAGATGTAATGTGTATGTGAGAAGCAAACTTGTGTTTATTCTTGAAGATTTCATTGTTTCCTGGTAATCCTTTTGTATATATTATGGTTTGGATACTGCAGAATTTTTACAGTGGTACCACTAAAGAAATGACAGGAATGCATACATAGTTATATGAATCAATAGTCAGTTTGAAGAAAGTAAGTACCATCCCTAGAGAAACTATCTAGATTCTGCAAACATTTCATTGCTTAAGAAGTCCCTGGATTCTGCCTCAAGGATGGTGATGTACAAAGTCTTAAGTAACAAGACAGATTGTTGGGAAACAGCATCATCATAACCACATGAACAGCTAAATGAGTAACATACTGAAAAATCCAAGAGGCAGTACACTAAATTAAGGACATGATCTTTCCTTCAGCCACTACCCATGAGTTATGAGGGCAGGTTACACTTGATAACATATATTTTCCTAGGTGCAGTTAACATTTGACCCAGGGCAGGGTTTGCTTGTGTAATTTGTGTGGCTTTCATCTAACCTCTTTGGCGAGAGTCCTCCATCTGATATGTCACAGCCTGTGGGTTCTGAGGCCTTGGCAGCATCTGAAGATTAGCATCCAGTGATAGGCTGGAACATCTGGAGAGTTTGTGTATGTGTAATTCCCAGAATTTTATCACTGAAAGTCAGAGAAGAGGATAAGAAATAATACCTTGTCTGTATAGGCTTTCCGGTTACACAGAGTAATGCTTGTATGCTCATTTCAAAGAGAATGAACTGAATCTGTGAATACATAGTGAGATGCTTCTACAGCAAGATTCTGCATTACAAGATTGGTTGTCCAATGTTTATAATGTTTAAAAATAAAAATATTAAACATACAATGCCATATTAAATGAAGAAAATTACAGTCAATATTTGCATTGTGGATTTTTTTAAAAAGTCAACATATACGTGAAAAAATTGGAAGAATATTCACCAAAATGTTATTCCTACATACTGGAATTAAGGACTTTCTTTCTGTTTTTTGAAATGTTATACAATGAGCTTTTTTTTAATAATGGAAAGAATAATTTTTTTTTTTTTTTAGTAAGCAAAAACATTTTTTTTAAATCCTCACCCAATGATATGTTTTTCATTAACTTTTAGAGAGAGGAAAAGAGAGAGAGAGAGACATTGATGTGAGAGAAAAACATCAATCATTTGCTTCCTGTATGCACCCCAACCAGAGAACAAACCTGCAACCTAGGTGTGTGCCCTGTTTGGGAATTGAGCCCACCACCTTTCAGTGTACAGGATGATGCTCTTCAACTGAGCCACACTTGCCAGGGCAGTAAGCAAAACAATTTTTAATTAAAATAGAGAACTATATTGGTGCCTACTGGTTTAGTAATCTAACTGGTTTGCTGAGGTTTTATCTAAAAGACTTGTTGCCATAGAGAGGAAAGTGTCTTGTGTTATAATTTAAAGATCCTAGTTAGTCCAACAGAGGGACGGTTTATTGCCTTTGTGGGGAGGGGGTACTTCTTTGAATCAGTGTTCTCTACCTTCTTACTGAGCAACAACCCTAGAAATTAAACTGACTTTGATAATGTTAAAATACTTATCTAAAGCCATCTTGGCCTCAGTAATTTCTCTTGGAATTCTCTCGGGTTGGAAAAATAACCCTAATTCTTTTTTCTTTTCTTTTCTTTTTTAAGAAAAGTACTTCTTGCCCAGCCACTGTGGTTCAGTGGATTGAGGTCCCGGTTCGATTCCCCATCAGGTCACATGCCCGGGTTGTGGGCTTGATCCTCAGTAGGGGGCGTGCATGAGGCAGTTGATCAATGTTTCTCACGTTGGTGCATCTCTCTCTCCCTTCCTCTCTTTAAAAAAAATCGATAAAAACAGTTTTTTTAAAGTCGTTCTTGAATGATGTAAGACTTCAGACAACCTAAAGCTTTGTTATACACACTGTTAATGATTTCTATTACCACATTCATATAAGTATTTATTCTATAATAATGTAGCTAGCCATTTCTTTTTTTTGTTTTTTGTTTTTAGCAGGAGGGAGAGAGAGGAAGAGAAAGAGAGAAACATCGACATGAAAGGGACACATCAAGTGGCTGCCACCCGCACTACTGAACCAGCGCCGGGGACAAACTGCAACCGAGGTACATGCCCTTAGAGGGAACCAAACCCGGGTCTCCCCGGACCGCAGGCCGACGCTCCAACCGCTGAGCCAAACCGGCAAGGGCCAGCCATTTCTTTGTAAAACTTACCTGTTCTGCCCTGGCTGGTTTGGCTCAGCAGTTAGAGCCTTCGCCCGCGGTCCAGAGAGACCCGGGTTCTGTTCCCGCTAAGGGCACGTACCTCAGCTGCAGTTTGTCCCTGGCCCCAGTTGGGGTTGTGGTTGTGCAGGAAGTGGCCACTCGATGTGTCCCTTTCACATCGATGTTTCTCTCTCTCTCTCTCTCCCTCCCACTCTATCTGAACAAAAATGGAAAAATATCCTTGAGTGAGGATTAAAACAAAAAAACTTACCTGTTTCTAGAAGGATATTTCAGCCATGTCACAATATGTAAAATAATCCAAGCCTGACATAGGAATCCATTTGCCTTGAAATCTATAGTGTTTTCTATTTTGGGTCATCAGCTGAAGTTTCTTAAACCTGCTTGTTTTGTAGGACCTGGAAAAGGAGAGTGACACACCCCTGCAGCAAGTGTCTATTGAAGAAATCCTAGAAGAACAAAGAGTAGAACAGCAGACCAAACTGGAAGCCGAGAAGCTGAAAGTTCAGGCTCTCAAAGATCGAGGTCTCTCCATTCCTCGAGCAGATACTCTTGATGAATATTAACTCTTGCTCACAGGCTATTGCTCTTGGGGAACAGGGGCTGTCACCGAATGAAAGTGATATTCTGGTCACCTCACACATTTGACTAGAGACGAGTATTTTGAAGTCATTTTTTTTTTTTTTTTTTTTTGCATTCTTTCACATGTGCAACATGAAGAAATCACGTGGCTTTTTGTTCCTTTTTAAAATGAAATCATTGTTTAAAGAAACAGCTGGATGGACTCCCTTCACACATTAGTATGGAGCCAGCAACTACTGCTCTGTATTGCTCTTCTCATCCCAAATTAGAGTTTACAGAGGAAAGTCTTCATTTGTTTGTAAATAAAATATGAATCTCAAAATTGTCATGTTATTTCCCAAGTTTGAGTTGCCTCCAATGAATAGACAAATTAAGTTTCTGGTCTCAACGGTATAAACAGTCCATACTCTGGGATATATCACACTTCCCAATTGCTGGTTACTTACAAAGGAATATTTTCATACTAAATACCTTGTGGATCCCTTCCTCTCTCCCCACTGATTAGAAAAACACATCTTCAGGAAAGGGTTTTCGGTGGAGTTTCATAGTTACGGGTTTATAACAAAAGCCTCAGGTTTGAGAAACAACATCACTACTAAAGTTGCTGTTCTGGCTTCACCTGTTAACAGCTATTCAAAACTAGTTTCCCATGAGATCCAACATTTAACTAAGGTGACTTTTTCTTTAGACCTGTTAATTTAGTTTGGTTTTCTAGCCCTTTGGATTGAGTCTGGAGCCCTTAATGCTGTTATTAAAAAAGAGCACAGATAAAAGGGTGTTTCAGTGGCTGATACATCTTGGTTACTCCTGGCTGACCACCCACAGTGACGCCACTTTTCTGGTATGATGTTGACTGTATAGTAAGTGTAACAGACTGAAGAGAGTGCCGTGTAGTTCAGTGGACAATGTACTGAACTAGGAGTTTAGGAGACAGGTTAAAATTTTGACTTTGTTCTTCCTCTGGCACCTTGGGCTTAAGCAAGTCAGTTCTCAGAATCTCAGGGGTTTTTTAACTGTAGAATAATTCCAAGTGTGTTTCTTTTTCATAATCTGTTGAGCAAAGATGTCCTTTTAATAAGATTTATATGCAATTCTTGTGTCTGAATTATTTTATAACTTTACCTGTACTTAACATTTTATGAGCTCAAGTGTTTTTAAAACTGCCCCAAATGCCTATAAACCATTTCATTGCTGAACTTTCATTGAGTTGGTTTTAAAGTAGGTAATTAGTGAAGGAACAGTTGTACCTAATGATATATGAAGTGTGCTCTGCCTCTCATTGTTCAATAACCAGAATATTTAACTACTCACACAAAACGGAAAAAACCATCACCAGCTTTTGAAAAACATGGCTAATGAACTACATAATATTCTTTGGGAGTCGGCAGGATTACAGCATTTGTTTTTCTAAGCACCACTGTATCAAGACTTCTGATGCCTTCAAGGAATTTGGACTCATTCTAGTTATCTTGTTTTTTCAATCTTCCAAATGCAATAACGAGTTATAGTTTATTCTTATGTTAAATAGGAGGAAAAGGGACTGAATTTTGACAAGACTTTCCCAATCATAGCAAGATTTTGATCATTGATTTTAGAACTCTGTCACACAGGCAGCAGCAAAGAATTAGACCTAACAAATGAAACTGGACTACCAGTCTGGCTGGTGTGGCTCAGAGGTTGAGTGTCGACTCATGCACCAAGAGGTCTCTGGTTTGATTCTGGTCAGGACACGTGCCCAGGTTGTGGGCCTGATCCCCAGTGTGGGGCATGCAGGAGGTGGCCAATCAATGTTTCTATCTCTCTCGCCCTCTCACTTCTCTCTCTAAAATCAATAAAGGGGAAAAAAAAAAGTTTTTTTTAAAGAAACTAGATTATCAGTTTCTTTCCTCCTAGTCTCCAAGATGCTCAGCAAAATGGCTTGCCCTCAGCTCTGTCCAGCCCATGATTTTTGCAGATAACTAAAATCATGCTCTTTTTTTTTTCCTGTTCATACCTTTGTCTTATTTATTATTATTATTATTATTACTGATTTTAGCAAAAGGAAAGGAGGGAGAGAAACATCAGTCAGTTGCCTCCTATACGTACCCCAACCGGGATCAAACCTACAATCTGGGTATGTGCCCTGACCAGAAATCAAATCTGCCACCTCTTAGTGTATGGTATATTCTCCAACCAACTGAGCCACACCAGCCAGGGCCTGTTTTATCTTGAACAGTTTCTTCCAAAAGGGCTTCCCATGAGACTGCTTTCAAGGGAGACAAACAAGGAAGATGCACTGAAGCCCCTTTCCTGGCCACCTAATACAGCAGCATATGTCTCAGTCTTCCAGCTGATCTCTTTCCCTTTCCTTGGCCTTTGATCTTATATTGCATGCTCTTAGCTAAGTTTAAACCACACTATCTGCTCCCCTCCCCAAGTCTGATAAACTCAACAGGCCTGGATACTTGACGACAACCAGATACTCATACCGTCTATTGTGGAGGGTTCCTCAGGGAAGCCATATCAACATGAAGCCCACAGGTATTACACAGAGGTGAAGATGACAATGGTCTTGCTCACTAGTATTGGCTGGCAGTCCCAGGCAGAGGGCAGCGCAGACAGCAGAGGGTGTAGGCCAGCAGGCAGAATGGATGTACCAGGCAACTACAGTGGGCAGTTAACCTCATCTCGGACCCATACATGTCATTCATGGTGACACTGCACAGCTCAAGAAATAGATTCCAGCCCGGGCTGGTTTGGCTCAGTGGTTAGAGCATCGGCCCTCGGACTTAAAGATCGCAGGTTTGATTCCCAGTCAAGGGCACATTACCTGGGTTGCATGTTTGATCCCCGAGATCCCTGGCCCCGTTGGGGTCAGGGTTTTGTGTGAAACAACCAATCAATGTGTGTCTCTCATATCGATGTTTCTCTCTCTCTCCTTCCCTTCCACTCTAAGAATTAATGGAAAAATATCCTCAGGTAAGGATTAACAACAACAACAAAAAATAAATCCCCAGAATTGTACCTGGCAAAAAAATATTAGAGGAGAGGCAATTAATGAACAGTTCCCCACCCCTTGGCTCTCCCCCCAAAAAATTATACGTGTGTGTGTGTGGCATTTTCTCACCTTTCAAAAGTCATACTACAAGATGAACTCCATCCAACTTCTTTTCTCATTAGGAGCCAACATTCCCAGTGAGGTACAAAGAAGGCATTTTGGTCATAGATGGTGTAGGCCAATGCACTAATGCTGAACCAATCTTCCAGCTTGAAACTAACCAACCCTGCTCATAATCAAGGAAAGAGTAGCAGGAGAAATCTAGTCTGAGCCATCACCTAAGAGTTAATGTGAGGTGAACAACAATATCATCAGTGATACAGCTCACATGCACCTTTTAGGACTATGTTAAACCCAGGAGAGGTAAAGTTTTTGCCAATGAGATTGAACACGATCAACTTAGTTTAAATCTGGGTTGTAACTTACTAGGTCTTGATGTGAAGTTAGTGGATTATAACCAGCATTTTAAAAATTTGGAATAGGCCCTGGCCAGTTTGGCTCAGCAGTCAAAGCATCAGCCCACGGACCAGAGGTAGGGTTCGGTTCCCGCTAAAGGGCACGTACCTTCGTTGCAATTGGGGTCATGTGGGTGGCAACCAGTCGATGTGACTCTCTCACATCAATGTTCCTCTCTCTTCCTCCATCTCTCCCTCCTGCTCTATCTGAAGACAAATGCAAAAATAAAATAATAAAAATAAATAAATAAAAACTTGGACTAGGCCCTGGCCAGGCTCCATCGGTTGGAGCATTGTCCCATACACCAAAAGGTTGTAGGTTCAATTTCCCATCAGGGCACATACCCAGGTTTCCAGTTCAATCCTGTGTAGGGGCGTGTATGGGAGGCAACTGATCAATGTTTCTCACATTGATGTTTCTCTCTCCCCCTCTAAAATCAATAAAAACTTATCCTCGGGTAGGATTAAAATAAATTTTAAAAAATTGGAATAGAATAGAAAATAGAGTGCATTACATAATAAAATGTATACATGCATGTATAAAAATATATTTGTTACTATGGGTAGCTGTCAGAAACATTTGAAAAACTGCCTTAGTTTATAGTAATTTATTATATGCTATTGCAACTAGAAAAGAAAACTGTATGTCCATTCCCCATCTTTCACCTCACCCTCTGAAAATCGCCTGTGCTCTGGATGAGGCTAGAATTTGCAGTTCTTCGTGCTTGGAACACACTTGCCCCAGATAGCTGCAGGGCCCTCCCCTCACAATCTTCAGATTTCTGCTCCACTTTCACCTTCCCTACCTCTTTTATTTTATTTATTTATTTTTTTATCATACTATCTGCCTTTAATATTTAAGATAATAAAGGTACAAGATTCTCTTTATTTAGCTACTTCTCCAAAAATTTTTAAAAGATTACCAAGATGTACCCTAATTACTGTTATTGGTCAGAATGTGTTAAGGCAGTCCCAACCCTGTGGTCACGTGCACAAAGAAAGGACTCCTCTGAAATAAAATGCTATTGACTACCTCTTTTATTGACTACCACTCCTCTGCCTATTTCCTTTCCAGCTTTATTTTTCACCATAACCAAGTATCACAATCTGACATCAATTTTGTTTGTTTACTGTCTGCTCCACTTGGCCACTAAAATGTGAACTTTTAAGAACAGGATTTTGTCTGTAGCATTCACTCCTATATTCCCACATCTAGAATGATGTATGACATATATTAGGTCTCAAAGAATGGAAGGGTGGATAGATGGATGGATGGATGGATGGACCGACAAATGGACGGATGGACACAGATGGATAGATGACTGGGAGCACACAATAAATTCAGGCTTGAGATACTTCAGAGACTGACTAGCAAGGTGCCAAAAGATGAGGACAGCTGGACCCCCCGAGCAACCAGGAGTTGAGTAATTAGTAGGGATCCTTCCACTGAATATGGAGCTGTTCTATCAAGTCAGCCTTCGCTGTAGACCACAGCCTGTCAATGTGTGAAGAGTTTGGAGATACTTAGTGTCAAAATGTCCAGAAGAGCATTCCAGGGGAATGTGGGATCAGGGGTCAGGGAGGACTTGTCAGGGTTGCTGGAAGTAAATAGATACACTAACGCCTGTTTTCCTCCCAACTGCCCTCCAGGCTGAACTGGGCTGCAGTGCCCCACACCCCACCTTGACATCACCCCTCCAAGGGATCCCCTGGATAAAGAGACCGAGAGGTTCCTTCATGGGTGTTTGCTTTTACAGGGCTTGTATCCAGATAAAGGAGCCAAGATGAAAAGTAAATGTTCCTATTCCCCTCCTGAGATCTTCCGGCCTG